GTAAACATCCTCAGCCAACTTTCCATTAAGGAAAGCGGTTTTGACATCCATTTGCCATATTTCATAATCATGAAATGCAGCTATGGCTAACAATACTCTAATAGACTTAATCTTAGCTACTGGTGAGAAGGTCTCATCATAGTCAACTCCCGGAGTTTGAGTAAAGCCCTTCGCAACCAGTCGCGCTTTGTAAGTATGTACCTTCCCATCCATGTCGGTCTTCTTCTTGAAGATCCATTTGCACCCAACTGTCTTACGACCTGGTACATTGTCAACCAAGTTCCAAACTTGATTGTCATACATGGACTGAATCTCGCTGTCCATAGCCTCCTTCCATTTAGCAGACTCAGGGCCTGCCATGGCTTCCCTGTAATTATTAGGTTCATCCAAATCTATTAGTGTACTATCACTAATAAATGTATCACCTTCAGTGGTGATGTGATAACCATAATAAAAATCAGGTGTGTTCCTCACCCTAGTGGAACGTCTTGGAGGTACAGACTCATCTATCGGATCAACAGGAGTTTCCTCCTCAGGTTGGTCGATAGCATTTGAGGTTCCTTCACCACTTGACTCTTGAAGCTCTTCAAGGTCAATTTGCCTCCCACTGTCCCCTTGGCTTATGAATTCTCTCTCACGAAAGACTCCTCTTCTTGCTACAAAGACCACATTATCACTGGGTCTGTAGAAGAGGTAACCAAAGGATCTCTGTGGGTAGCCGATGAAAATACACCTCTCACTTCGAGGTTCAAGCTTATCATGAGTCTCACGCCTCACGAAAGCTTCACAACCCCAAATCTTGATGTGGTCCAAATTGGGAACTTTCCCAGTCCACATCTCGTGAGGTGTTTTGGCAACCTTTTTAGTAGGGACTAGATTAAGGATATGGGCGGCAGTCTCTAAGGCATACCCCCAGAAAGAGATTGGTAACGAAGCTCGACTCATCATGGAACGAACCATATCCAACAAGGTTCGATTGCGCCTCTCAGCTACACCATTCAACTGTGGTGTTCTGGGAGGTGTCAATTGTGAGACAATCCCACATTCCTTAAGATAGTCAAGGAACTCAATGCTAAGATACTCTCCTCCCCGATCGGATCGGAGCATCTTGATGTTCCTGCCCAATTGATTCTCCACTTCCTGTTAAACTCTTTGAACTTTTCAAAGGTTTCTGACTTATGCTTGATTAAGTAAATATATCCATATCTACTGTAATCATCAGTAAAAGTCACATAATAGCGATTAGCATCCCTTGTAGCAACTCTGAAGGGCCCACACACATCCGTGTGTACAAGGTCCAACAAACCTTCACCCCTATCACAAGTACCTGTGAAGGGTGACTTTTCATTTTTCCAAGTAAACAAGACTCGCAACTATCATCTGACTTGAGGTCAAATGATTCCAAGACTCCAGCCTTTTGGAGTTGGCCTATGCGCTTCTTGTTAACATGTCCAAGACGACAATGCCACAAGGATGCTTTATCCAAGCTATCTGAAGAATCAATATACAACACATTATTTCCTAGATTGTCTACAACATTCACAGCTTCATATACACCATCACAAGGTAATGCTTTAAAGTAAAATACATCATTGTAATAAACATTAATAGCACCATTTTTATTATCAAATGAAAATGAAAAACCTTGTTTGTACAAGCCATGAAAAGAAATAATATTTCTCGCCATTTCGGGCGAGTAACAACACTTATTCAAATCTAACATTAACCCATTATTAAGCAATAAAGAATAAACTCCTATCTTGGTAACAGGTGATGCTTTCCTGTTGCCCATGACTAAGTTTATCTTCCCGTGCTCCACTTGCTCACTTCTTCTTAGTGCCTGCAAATAAGTACAAATGTGAATACCACACCCTGTATCAAGCACCCAAGAATTAGCATTAGATGAGTTGTTAGACAATATTGTGTAAATACCTGCATGGGTGGGTTTAACCTTCCCATCCTTTAGATCTTGCAGATATTTGGGGCAGCTTCGCTTGAAGTGTCCCTTATCCTGGCAATAGAAGCACTGTGCTTCCTTTGGGTTTGAAGAAGGAGTAATGGGACCTTTCTTTGTCCCACTTGAAGAGGAACCATCAAGAGTCTTACCCTTGGTACCCTTCGAAGGGCTTTTCCTCTTCTTACCTTTTCCCTGCCCAATAGCCAGAACAGGGGCTGTTGAAGGAGTAGAAGTAGCAACCGCTTTACCCTTAAGGCCATTTTCAGCTGTCCTTAAGAGTCCTTGAAGTTTGCTAAGTGTGACTTCCTCCTTGTTCATATGATAAGTCATACGAAACTGATCATAACTTGGAGGTAAGGAATGGAGAATGATGTCAATCGCCATTTCCTCAGGAAAGTCAACATTTAGCTTCAGCAACCGGTCAACGAACCTTTGCATCTTCTGCAAGTGACCGGTGATGGGTTCACCATCCTTCATCCTTGCGGTTATCATGGAGGAGATGATTTCATACCTCTCCTGACGCGCGCTCTGATGGTACCTTTCCATCAGATCCAGGTGCATCTCATAGGGGTAGAAATCTTCATAGGATTTTTGAAGTTCAGGAGTCATGGTGGCCATCATGATGCATGCTACTTTAGTAGCATCCTTTTCATGTGCAACAAACTCCGCAAACTCTTCAGGAGTAGCAGTGGCTTCATTCACAACCTTAAGCTCCTTATCGAGGACATATTCTTTGTCCTCATAGCGGGTAATCATTCTGATGTTTCTGATCCACCCATTGAAATTGGATCCATCAAAGATGACCTTACCACACAAGTTCATAAGGGAAAAGGAGCCTGTTGGGTTTGAGCCATAAGCATTGTTGGAAGACATCTGAAAGGAAAGAAAGACAAGTTTCATTAGATTAGGAATCCTTAATAATTCACCCAAATGAAATATTAAGGCTAGGATCCAACAAACTATTTATAGTTGGAAGAGGGATGCCGTAATCCATACTATAAAATATTTGAAGGTAGGTAAATGACGATTTACCAATTTCCACCATAAGAACGAAATATTTTATTATTAGGTTTTATTGGTTTTGAAACTCCTAGATCTTTTGAGATACATTGAACTTTTCAATGGCATGTTTGAATCTCGATTGTGCCCTCTCAAGTTTGTGACTGGGATGCCGTGAATCACAAACAAGGTGTGAATAACCATACAAATTGACTTGGTACCCTCAACAATATTACCTAATCGATGTGCCGGTTAACCACACAAGCTCCACCGATCTATAATAAGGTCAAGTTACCCTTTGCCACTCTTACTAGTCCATGTTAGTGTGCCGGTTAACCACACACGCTCCACTAACGACTTGGTAAGGTACAAAGTGTAATTTTATGGGCTAGCACCAATTTCACATTTTCCTAAAGTAACTAAGATTGGGAATTTGTAATGTATAGTTACTTTATAATTCATTATACTTTTAACGAGTATTTAAAGTCGTATCCTACCCGTTCGGCTAACGACCCTCCACCGATTAAGGAAGCGGTGGGTGAGAGTGGACACCCATTAAGTCACCATTTTATAGGCAACAACCTTATACCCCCCTTATAGACCGGCTTCGTGAATGAGGCCTACTAACGGTAAAAATGACATATTCTTATACATATCTATATAATAAAATTATAATAATAGTATAAGTGTTGATTTTTAAACTTTTTAAAAATCTAAGGTTTAATTTGGAATTAAAGTATTAAAGTGTAAGACTTTTCAAATTCCAAAACTTGAGGGCAAGATTTGGAACTATTCCAAGTCTCTTCAATTTGTAACTTATGAGTTTTAATGATTCATAAAAATGAAGACTCTTCATTTTATGAAACCTCTTTAGTTCTTTAATCATAATTAAAAGAAGCGACTCTTGGTTATCCATAACTTGAGGACAAGTTATGGACACCATCATTTCCATTAAGATCATGAATTAAACATACATGGAGGTTACATATAATTCCTATGATCTTCTAAAAACTCATAAGAACACAAATTCATGTCAAGCAATTTCAAGAAATCATATAACTATATACAATACTTGAAAATTGATAAAAGCCATGTAAAATGGGTTAACATAATCATTATCATTTTGAAAAACAGATTTTACAAGTCCAAAACAGATTGGGATAATGATCTTAATCCATTTCCAGCAACAAAACTCGAAAAAACTGCTCAGCACGCTCCTACTCGCCGAGTGCATTATTCTACTCGGCGAGTAGAATGAATTTGTTCATGGACTCGGCGAGTCCTCCCCATGGACTCGGCGAGTCCAGTCATCAGAATGCAGAATTTTCGATTTTTAAGCAGTTTTGCATCAAGTATACAGAAAACAATCCTAGGCTCTGATACCACTGATGGGTTTTTGAGCATTCTAACACTTCCTAAGTGTACATGCAACCCTAATAACCTTGAATCTATGTTTTCTCTATATACATGCAAATTTCTTTTTCAAGGTTATTTCCTAACTAGCATGGCATGGGGATTACATAAAACATAAAAACTAGTAGAAATACATACCTTGTTGTTGCTTGGATTCCTTCAAAACTTTGTGAGCCTAGCACCCCAAATGTTGTGCCTCAAATGCTTCACACAACACCACAAGACTTGGAATAACTTGAGAGAATACTTCTAGCACTCAAAATCGGTTATGCCCTCTCTAGTAACACTAGGTCCACTAGGTCACGATTTTGCTAGCCATAGGGTTCCTTTTATAGTGTTGTCACAATTAGGGTTTACACATGAATGCCCTTAATTGTCATGACTCTTGATTTCTCATGACCCATGGGTTTGTAACTCCCATAGACTATCCATGGAGCTCCATATGGTTATAACCAAACCCATAAACCATGGATCATTAATCCACCATAAAAGAATTGATGATTGTCATAATCAACCCTATATATTTAATTAGTCTCACTTTGATCACCAAATTAATACTAGATTAATACTTGATCAATACTAATTAAATAATACTATTATTAATATATTAGAACTTATAATATATTAATAATCATAAGTGCCTTATTCTCTCATTTAGTCTATCCAAGTATTGCAATGCCATGCAACCCAAATGGACCATGCCGGGTCGGGTCAAGTACATACCAAATAAAGTTATGGACTTAGACACTATATCCAACAAATGGTACAATGGATCCCATAGAGCTAATGTCGCCAAATCTTGTGGGCGAAAATCACACCCCAGCTCCAGATCATGTGTAGGGTAATTCGCCTCATGAAGATTCAGTTGCCTCGATGCGTAAGTAATCACATGACCCCGTTGCATAAGCACTGTGCCCATAGCCGTGATAGATGCATCACAATAAACCACAAAGTCATCAATTCCCTCAGGCAGGGTCAAGATCGGAGCCTCGCACAATCTCTGCCTCATGGTCTCAAAATTTGCCTGTTGCTCAGGCTCCCAACGAAAGGTAACTGTATTCTTCGTGAATCTGGTCAACGGAACTGCGATCCTAGAGAAGTTCTCAATGAACCTCCGATAATACCCTACTAGACCAAGGAAACTCTGAATCTCGGATGGAGACCTCGGAACCTCCCACTGCATCACGACCTCGACCTTAGCTGGATCGTCCAATATACCCTTCTGATTGACGAGGTGTCCTAAGCACTGTACCTCACACAACCATAACTCACATTTGGAGAACTTGGCATAAAGCCTCTCCCACCTTAAAGTCTCCAATACCTCCCGCATGTGATCCTCATGCTACTCCTTGGTCTTTGAATAGACCAAGATATCATCAATGAAGACGATCACCGACCGATCCAACATCGACCTACAAACCATGTTCATGAGGTCCATGAACACCGTCGTGCATTGGTGAGCCTAAAAGTCATAACTACGAACTCGTAATGACCGTATCGAGTTCTAAAAGCTGTATTATGAACATCCTCATTTGAACCCTCATCTGATGGTAACCTAAACACAGATCACTCTTGGAAAACCAAGATGCACCATGTAGCTGATCAAACAAGTCATCGATCCTCAGAAGTGGATACTGGTTCTTCACCGTCAAGTTATTCATCTCCCGGTAGTCGATGTACATTCTGTGGGAACCATCATTCTTCTTCACAAAAAATATCGGTGCTCCCCAGGGTGAACTAATCAGCCTAATAAACCCTTTGTCTAATAGCTCCTCCAGCTTCGTAGACAACTCATGTCTTGGCTATCAGAGCCGCACCCGCTACCAAATCAATCTGGAACTCAACTTGCCTCTCCGGAGGCAACGCAGGTAGATACTTAGGAAATACATCAGGATAATCTCCGACGATCGACACATTATCAACCGTCATCTCCCTTCCTCTATGACATCTATCACATACGTCATGAAACCATAACAACCCTACTGTAGATATCTCCTAGCTCTCGCGGCTGAATAGAGAGCCAGTCCACGTTTAGCACCCTTTCCATGAATAATTAGTTCTCCCCCACTTGGGGCTAGACCCGTACCAACTAGTGCTTACATTCAATCATTTCTCCATTGGGGTTCAGCCAATCCATCCCCACGATGACCTTACTCTCGCACAAAGGAATAGGAACCAAATCAATCGGGTATCTCTCTCGGAATAGCTCAAGAGTATAATCCCCATGAACCCTAGATACTATCACTGGATGATCATCGACGATCTCCATCTCCACCGGATAATCAAGCTCCCTAGGAGCATCACCAAACCTCTCGCTGAGCGGAAGGGATACAAACGATCGGGTGGCACCCGAATCAACAAGGACCAAATTCAAAACACCGTTCACCAAGAACGTCCCTAAACAATCATATATATATACATATATATATATATATATATTATATATATATATATATATATATATATATATATATATATATTAAGCATAAACAATATAACAATAAATGAGATAAGGAGACGATACATACCAGTAACCATGTCTGGTGCTGCACGTGCCTCCTCGGTTATTAGCTGGAAAGCTCAACTCCTCACAACTGACGTCTCCGTTTGGCCCTTAAGGCCATCAATAATCCACAATGTCGTTGGAGTGGGTGTTGCCACCACTCCTGCTGTCAAACTCGGACAATCGACCTTCTTGTGGCCCCTCTGATTGCAATGGAAGCAAATCAGACTCCACACTTGGGTGGTGGCTATGCAATCCCTGCTGAAATGACTAGTCTTGTGTCACTAATAGCAACCCGAATCACCCACCCTAAAAACCCCATCATGTGCCTTCCCCCACTTGCCGCAGTGGCCTCAGACCTTCAGGCCCCTCGATCGATGATCAAAAGTCTTGGGTCTCTTTTCAGGACCCCCATATGTATGCACCTGCTCTGTATTCCTCTTCCCGAGGTGCTCAAAACCAATCTCCTATTCTTGGGCTTTGGCTATCATATTCTCTAATGTCTGACATGCTGAAAAGCTAACAAACTCCCTGCTATCCGCTCTCAGAATGTCATGGTACGACGTCTTCTTCATTTCCTTGTCTGCAGCATACCGTGGAACCAACAAGGCTCTCTCCTGAAACTTGGCGGTGATCTCCGCCATAGTCACACTCGTCTGGTGTAGGTCCTAGAACTATTTCGCCAACTATTGCACCTAAACTGTCGGTGCAAACTCCGCTCGAAATTAGGACACAAAGTTAGGCTAGGTCATGGCCTCATTGGTTGGCGCTCCCAGAGCATATCCAACCTCCTCTCACCAATCTCGGGCTTGCTCCCTCAGACATCCTACATCGAACATCATCTTTGACCCCTTGGGGCAGAAGCTAGTCATCTTGGCGCTCTACATGTCTGCTATCCACCTCCTGGCGGCAATGGGGTCTATCACCCCAAGGAACCTCATCCTTTGTACTTCCCGGCAGCCAACTCAGCTTTAAAGGCCTGAAAGAGCTCGTCCATCATCTAAATGATACCCTCCTTGATCGTCCTAAATATCATCAGGGCCGCATCAACGATACCTCTCGTAATGTCATATGCGATGAACTCACGTAGTCCTTTGTCAATTGGTTCGGTGCCCGTGACCGAACCAGATCCAGATCACGAACCTCCTGCTCCACCACGTGTGATCACCATGCTAAAACACATTACATAAAGAATCAGTACACACATGAAAAGGTTCACACTCCCGATGTTTCTTGGGACATCAAGACCTTCCTCGTCTCGTGTATAGATCTTGTGCTTTCAGTAGTACGGGCCCAATACTACCATCCACACCTATCTATACCTTTCTCAAGGACTACCTCAAATCCTCTAAGTCACATCTATACTATCAATCACTTCACTTCCACTATAGAGCGCCCTATGTGCTAAAAAATATCCTAGGATTTCATAGGGTTCCCTTCCCCACCACTCTCCTCCATCTGTTGCAGAAGAGACTCCCTCCAATACCTCCTAACTATCTTACATATACCATTCCATGTCAGCAGCACAAGATAATTCTTTGACTACTTGGTCTCACCCTACAACGGTTGGAGTCAAACAAGAGTTGCACAATAGGGTTGAAACTAACCTTCTAAAATTATCTAATCTCCTCAACATGTAATTTAATGTATTCGCTTAATAGTTAGATGTAATCAATGGGTTCCCAAAAAACACAAAGCAATCATCATTCAAACATTGAGTAGTCCAATCCAGTGCATCACCTAATCCAGCCCTTTTATCCAATATTCAAAATCCATACTCGCATGCAGTTCTACAAGCTCAAACAACAAGCATATAAATTCATATCTCCTAGCGTTCTATCATGTAATGCTGAGCAGATCCTTATCCCCAATCTAGCATGTAATTCTCATATACTCGTATCAAATGAGTATCATATCACATGTATGGGTATTTTGGGAAATACTTACTTGATCTCGACCGATTGTGCGCATCAAACCCCTTTTCTTTTTAGAAATATTCTTTGAAAAGTTGTTTTCTTTTTTTATAAATTTTACCAACTCGTCAGTTTGAGTTCAGACAAAGCAGAGAGTAAACCCGAATCCCTCAAACCAAGGCTCTGATACCTACTTTTAATGTCCCAAAATTTCTAAGTAAAAAATTTATTTTAAATCAATCAAAAAACCATTCATTCAGTTTGGAAACCCATCATAGTATAAAATATGTCATACAATCATCAGAGTACAAATTAATCAATTCTTGCAGAATATTGGTGGATGCGCTACAATCATGTCGAGCTCTTTCCCTTGGAAGTGGAAGTACCTGAAACCATAAACATAAACCGTAAGAACAAAGATTAGGGAGTTCCCGAAAATTCCCCATACCAGACATACATATCAGATCGAAGCTATACACGTCTATTTTCACCCCCGTGTCTATTTCACCCCACATACAAATAACATACAAGCATATCAACAAAAGTAACAAATACATCAAGTACATAATAAATGGGTCTATTTCACCCACTATACATAATAAACTGGTCTATTTCGCCCCAAGTTCTATTTCACCCATATACATAAACTTTCAATCATATTAGCAAGAGTCACAAAGACAGCTAGCATCCTACATACATGATATAGTGGGTCGGCATTGGTGCCTTTTACCCATAAGTATAATGTAGAAACTCACCTCAACCAGACAATGAACATATCTCACACTTAGGTTACTGGTACTCGAGTCTCTCCCACTAAACATATCCAAAACCAAACCCTAATTAGCAATTAAAATAAATCCCCAACTCATCAAGTCCAAAGACTAAGGAAAACCTCATTTGGGCGAAAGACCATTTTTCCTTTCAAACTCACCTCACACCATGACCAGCTTATGGTCACGTCATGGGAATCGATTCCCCTCAAATCCTAACTCAATCACGAGTCAACTCGGCTCAACTTCATCCCTAGCGATCCAGATCACTGCCCTGTCGTGAGGACCAACCCCTCACACCGTGTCAACATGAGGAGAAAATAATCAGGAGATTCCTCCCTCATGTAGTGACCTCCAAATAGTCACGTCATGAGTTGCGTACAATGTACATCTTAATGCATTCAACCCTAATCTTGTCCCTCGTGCGTTCCAAATTTCAAGAAGATCTTATAACCCTAAAATGAGCTTAAAACTCGTTGCTTTATGGACATGTATGTCCAATACATGTCTAGATCTCATTTTGGGCCAAAATGTAGAAAATGTCACTAAAGTTCGCATGCAAAGATTCAAGACTCAACCATTTACTAGATCTGAACATTAGATCACTTTAAGGACCATTAGAACCCATAAAGTTGCCAACTTTATGGTTTCTTTTCATTCAAGCTTGCTTAATCATGGATAAAATGGGACAAAAACCTAGATCTATCCATAAACAACAATAAAGGTTGAAGCTTTGGCACTTACAAGGGGTTCAAAGCAAGCACAATATGATGATGATGTTGTTCCCTTGCTGGATGCACAACTAAAACACCTTCTTCTACTCTTCAAACTACCAAAAACACCAAAGTATGCTCTACAATTTTATGGAGGAATTAGTGTTTCTCTCTCTGGTTTGGAGGTGATGGGGGATGAGGGTGAAGGAATCCCTAGTTCCTCACTTCCCTTAAATTGCTCCAAAACCCGAATTTAGGGTTTCATCAAGTCTCACGTCGTGATACATACATGATTACATCGTGACACTTTAATGGTACACCCACATACTACGACCATGTTTCGACATGAGAGGGATACAATCATGTCATGAATTGCGCTTCAACAAATCACTACCATGATCAGAGTTAATATATCCAACCTAGTCACTTTT